TCATTTGAACAAAGTGGTGGACAAGTGAGTTGGGTGATTTGTGTTTGGTTAGGGGTTAAGGTCAAGTTAGATGACAAAATGTGATATGGGGAGAACTGATTCGAGCGATGTGGTGGAAGGAGGAGGGAAAGTCATGTCACGTTATGCTACGGTAGGGTGGCATTAAATGTGATATAATCACTATCACGGCAAAAGCAGTCGCGTCACAAATGTTTTTGAACACATAATTGCGGTTTCAGGCGATGAATAATTATCGCTTCTAAGAATCGCAAAGTTCGTGAAATTTCGAGGCCTCGCAATGACTCGAAACATTTTGGGTGCGTCTACATGATGGCCGGAATCTAACAAAGGACGGGCAACCGCGCTAGATGATAATTTACCTCCGCGAAGACCAAAGTGTTTCGGAATATGTTCACACATTCTGGTTGATAAGTGAAGTTCTGTCCCTCCGATGTACCGCTGACCGCAAGTACATTGAAATGATCGAGATTAGTGCGTGTGAGACAACAAAACGTCCCGTAGACAATCATTAGCCTTGCCGCATTGTACGTCCTTTCGACGGCGTGTTAAACGCCGAGAGATCTTTGTTGTTACATTATCTCCCTTGAAAGACAGTTTTCTACATAGACATCTTTCTTTTTAGCCGATAGGGAATCAGGCTTGGCGTTGAACGGCTTGCAATACTTGTGGATGAATGCGATGGGATAACCATTGTCTAGCAAAGCATGGGTCAGTCGGTCTAGTTCATCTGGCAGGATGTGCGGACCACATAGCAGGCGAACCAGAATGCGTACTCTTATGTTTCTTCGTTTCACATGATCATACAAATGTGTGTTTACAGTTGAATGAGAGCACGCGAAATTGATGGCCAATATCAATTGTGCCCACATGTATATCCTGGTGTTGATGATATATATAACGACAAACTCAGTGAAAAACAATACAAAGATATCAAACCTAAGGAGGGTCCCATCCCGCGGATCTACGAACTACCAAAGGTGCATAAAACCGGAGTACCACTACATCCAATCGTTTCTTCAAAAACGGCTCCCAACTAAGTATCTCCGCCATCTATTACGCCCATCCATTCCAGAAGACAATGGCATAAAAAACTCGGTCACATTCTTAGATCGAATAACAGTATTACAACTGAAACCGAAAGAAAAAATGGCGTCCTTCGATGTCACATCTCTGTTTACAAACATATCGACACAATTAGCTCTGGAGGGCATACGGAATCTGATGACAGATGATCCTCGTCTTCCAGAAAGAACACCACTATTAGTGACTGACATCATGGAGTTGCTTAAACTGTGCATGGAAACATACCTACAGTTTGACGGGAGGATATATCGCCAGGTGAAACGAACTCCAATGGGATCACCAATATCCGACTTATTAGCTGATGCGATGATGCAACAATTCGAAACCAAGGCATTTGCAGAATACCACCTTCGCCTCTGGGTTCGATACATGGACGACACCCTTGTGGTGCTATCGGCAGAAAGAATCGAACAATTCCATGATACCCTAAACAAGGTTATGCCAGAGATAGTGTTTACCCGTGAGGAGGAAAACGACATGAAGCTCCCTTTCTTAGACGTCCTGGTCATAAGAAAACCAGACGGAAACACAGAAACCACTGTGTACAGGAAACCCACGACAGACCAGGTGCTGAACTACGACAGCAATCACCCCATGTGTCACCTTAGGAGCTGTGTATACACTTTATTCCGCCGTGCAGACACACATTGCTGCACAAAGGAACTTCGGCATCAGAAACGAATGCATCTGTTCCATCAATTCCACACAAATGGATACCCCAAAAGTTTTATCCAATCATGCCTTAGGGGAAGAAGAAAACCGAAGGATGAAGAGAAAATGAAACTCTTATTACCGTACATACGTGGGGTATCAGAAGCTGTTGATCGCATCTTTCGCCCTCTGGGTGTCACCATTGCCCACAAACCTACAACAACGCTGCGGTCAATCTTGTTCAACGGCAAGGACTATGTAAAACCACACGACCAATCAGGGGTGGTGTACGCGATTCCGTGCCTGGACTGCGACCAAGGTTACGTGAGAGAGACAGGTAAACAACTGTGCACTCGCCTACACGAACACACGCACCACGACGCGCCGACCCGAAGTCACACCTCTGGAACCACGGCGCAACGACAGGTCACGAGGTCAGAATCGATGACGCAAAAGTAGTGACAAGGGCAAAGAGGAAGGGGGAACGTCTGACCATTGAAGTGCTGCTTTCGACCAACTCATTCAATCGACACGTGGAAATCAATAAA